GAGGACACATCTGACACCGTCAAGCTGTCATGGTCGCACCTCCGAAGGTGCATGAATATCCTTCTGGAGGCAGAACGTTCACTCCCCTGTCAGATTTCAGAAGACACCCTTGTTAGGCGATGGCTTGGGAGGCATCTCAGTCCTCCTGCTTCATCACAAAGCCTTCCTTGCGGAGGAGAGCTATTAGGAAGCTGGGCTCCATTGATTGTCAATTGAACGAACTAATTTAGAAAGAAAGAGGGCTGAGGGTTTGCTACACAGGGTCCCGCTCCACCGATCTGGGAACTGGTGCTCAGCTGAGAACTTAGAGCTCATTGAAAAATCAATTACAGAAAAAAAATGTTTCAAATGAATCCTCAGGCCTTACGAGCCTTAACGAGCTAAGGAATTCACCCGAAAATCTGTGATACGTAATGCAGACAGTTTCTCTACCTAACACACCGTGCCTGAGTTATAAATCCAGATCTCAAAGAATATCAAAGTTTTGAAGCAAAAGAGGAAGTTTCTGGAGAGGCAGTGGAACGTTGTGACAGGAGCTGTAAGCCATAGTCCCAGCCCAGCTCTGCCACTAACTTGCTGTGTGACCTTGGGTAAGTCACCTCCTCTCTCTGATTCTCTAGTTTCTTATCTGTATGCTGAGGGAGTTGGATGATAAAACTATGAGGTTGTCTTTTCAGCTGTAAGGTTTATCCTCTTCTCCCTGAACCCATTCACCCTTTTCTGGGGACGCCCTAGGCGGGAGGCTCATGCTGGGTGCCATGGATACAGCGGGGAGCAAAACAGACACAGATCCAGCCTGCATGTCTCCATGACATCGTCCTAATCACCCCATACCAATACCATTACAATCTGGGACAAGTGCTACCAGGGGAAAGGACCTGGTTCCGTGGGTGCCCAGAGCCAGGAATCTATCCCAGTATGCAGTCAGGAAAGCGTTCCTGCAGGAAACCTCCTTTGAGATGAAATGTGAAAAGCGGATAGGAAAAGAGAGAGCGTAAGAAGGCGCAATATGTGTACACACCCTGAGGATCGGAGGAAGTAAGGAGAAGCCAGCGTGGCTACGGCAATGAGAGGTGAGAGAATGGCTAGTGTAAGATGGGCAGAAGGGGCCAGATGGCCAAGGGCATGGGAGGCCACATGAAGGATACGGGTAATCATGTTGAAGGGCACTGGGAAGCCACTGAAGGCTTCAAGCTGGGGTGTGATGCCATCAGATTCACATTGTCTGGCTTTAATGTGGAAAACAATATTCTCTGGCTCTGAAAAGGGCCAAGAGAAAGTTAGACAGGAGGCCAGCTGGGAGGCACCAGTAGGAGCGCAGGTGAGTCGTGATAGTGGTGGAGATGCAAAGGGGTTAATTCTTGGCTGTCAGCTCTAATGATCATCAGAGGTGACTTAAAACATCTCATCAACAGTGAAGTCATACTCTCCTCCCAGCTGTCCATATCAGTGTCCCCCAGACCTGGAGCAGGCCCCCATCACAAGCTCTTAGCACCATATTCCCTTCCCCCGAAGCCTTTCCACAGCTGCCATTTCTCATCTGTCTTTGTGACTGTTTGGTTAAGAGCTGAGGCTCCAGCCAGACTAGAAGTCCCAGAAAGGCAGCAGTTGAGGTGTTTTTTTCCTATTACTTCTTCTAAGTGCCCAGGGCAGTGTCTGGCCCATAATTGGTGCTATGTCGAATGAGGGAATCAGTGAACGAATAACACGAACAAAATGGACATCTCAAAGCAGAGACCCTCCTGAGATTATATCTGGATGAAGGCAAGAAGGTAAAGAAGAAACCAGCAAGTGCAATACACTGGTCTCTTAAAACAAGTGACCGAGGCTACATTTTCCACCGGACCTGACAGTGGCAGGTAAGGAATGAGGATACTGGCACACTGGTCCCAGCTGGCATCCATGACCGCACACATTACCTGCCTGGATCCTGTACGTATGATCCGTTTCCCATAGTCCCTTCCTTCGTCCACAGTAGCTACTCAATAAGTATGTTACCAGTGGATGACCTTAGACAAGTCACTTAACTTCTATCAACCTCACGCTCCGTCGCTGTCACACTGGGTTCATCCAGCCAGCCTTCTCTGACGAGGATCAGACTCAAAGGACTCTGCAAAGTGGAGGGTGCCATCCGTCCAGAGGGAAGATGTGACTGCCAGGCTCCAGAATGAAAGGAGCGGAGGGACAGGTCAAGAGGGCAGAGGAAGGAGGCAGAAGATGGAGGAGACGGCAAAGTGCCCAAGGGAGGCAGGACGGCCATGGGGAGAGAAGGTGGCAGCAGAAAACGAATTTTCCAGGCACCGCATCTGTCTTGGCTTCTCTGTCTGTCAGAAGGGAAGTGGGGCCTGGGCCAGCCACGTGCTCGTGTGTCTCTTAAAACCACCCCTGAAATGCACCCGTACTGAGAGCTCTCTCTGGTATTTTCGAGTTTGTTTTCGGTTTTATTTCCTGGTGGCTGTTGGAAGAGACTTCAACCCCAGGCACAGCTCAACACGGCACATCCATAAATCGTCCCTACTCCTCTGCCAACTTCCAGACAGGTCATAATGGGAAAGGGAAGATAAACAAATAAATACGGAATGGTGAAGGGCAGTCAGTTCAGCGACTCGACCTCATCCATCAGTCCTTCCCTCCATCGCCAGAGCCCCGCCACTTCAAGGCTGTTTTAGAGACACGCCAGCACCTTGGTACTTAATGACTGTCCACGGTGCCGGGGGAGGCTGGCCCAGCTCCTGCTTCCTTACTGACAGGTGGAGAACCCAAGACAGAGCCTTTCCTGCTCTACCAAAGCATCTCATTTCAACATGAATAAGACAAATACCTAGAGGTTAGAGTAAGTAAGATTTTTTAAACACTACAACATCCAGATGGCTACTAATGAATGACACACCGATGATGGGTGGAGTGAGCTGTAGTGCCAGACGACCTGGGACCAAATCCTGGCTCTACCAGCAGTTAGTTTTGTTGGCTGAGCAAGTTACTTCGTCTTTCTGGACTTTCAGTTTCCTCATTTTTCAAATGGGAATCATGACCCTCCCGGTGGGGAGCGTACAGCTCAGTGGTAGAGCAGGTGCTTAGCATGGATGAGGTCCTGGGTTCCATCCCCAGTACCTCCATTTAAAAAATCAAATAATCAAATAATAAATAAACAAACCTAATTACCTCCTCCCAAAATAAAAAATTAAAAAAAACAAAACCCTCCCTTGTAGCATTGGGTGAGGACTCAATATCTGTCAACTGGGAAGCAGGGCACCTGTGTGTAAAGAATGTAATAAAAACCAGCTGTTATTTTTAAAATAAAATATCATGTAGCCATGAAAAAGGATACTTTTTTTTTCATGAGCATCAAAAGATGTCCGTGATTTACTGTTGAGCCAGAGACTTCCCACGGTAGGGGTGAAGTGGGGTTGAGGTACAGACACATAACCCCTGACTCAGAAATATGAGAGTTCATACA